TTCACGATAAACTTTGTAAAATAATATATAACTTGTTATTGACAATCTAGCAATCGAGGTCCCTAATTTCCAGCTTTAGCCGCGACAATTATTATTATTTTTTAGCGCCTGTTTAGGGTATTAGAATCAGTATTATCGTTATATGTAACAAAATTACATTCTAGACATTTTTGTTAGCGAATTAAGATAGAGTTTCCTCATATTTCTTATCTAATTGATGTAACTTACTGATATTTACTTTAAAATTAGGCAATAGCGATAGTGATAGATGACCTGGAGTTTGTCTATTGCCAATATTAAAAGACCACAATAAATATTGATATAAAGTATTAAACATTATCATAAAGATTAAAAAGATTAAAAGCTTTGAAAAATATAATTTTCTAACTATATACAGAAATTATCTTGACAATGCAGTTGACATTAACCAACTAGTGTAATGACATCGATTCTACACCCTTGCAATTTGACTCTTTCGAATGGATGCAATACTCGATCACAATAAATTTCTTATTTAAGAATTGCCCGAGTTGTCATAAAATTATATACCTTTTTTAATATATATATTAAATTTATATTTTCGATTGCTAGATTGTCAATAACAAGTTATATATTATTTTACAAAGTTTATCGTGAAATCATTAATAAGTTGTAAATTATAAATTATATGAGTGTTGCAACTGTAACTGATCATAATGATTTACTACGGTTAAGGTGGTTAATGGAGTAGCTTACTCCGGTGCACTTCGGAGTAGAACCAACCCAAGTTGGAGTGGTTTATAATTATGTTTTTAAATTTGGAGCAACCTGGAGCAACCCGGAGCAAACCATTGGAGTAAGTCTAATTCAGTGGAGTAGAACCCCGAATAATATATACAGAGTTTACATTGAAATTTTGGCCAAAAAGATTACTTTTTTACAAAAATGTTATATTTGAAAAGCGGATATTGGTCAAAAGGTTATATTTAAAAGTGGATAAAAGCTTTTAATGTTATATTATTAAAAATGGATAAAATTAGTAAGTTTTAAATAGGTTATATTTAAAAAATTTTTTTTTGAAAAAAATTTTTTTAAAAAAAGTATTTTTTTTTTTTTCTGAAAAAATTTGTTATATTTGACAATTGGCTAAAATTTATTAAATATTAAAGCTTATATGTAAAATATAGTTAATTAACTCTAATAAAAAGTGGATAAAAATTTTCAAAAGTTTATATAAAGCTAATATAACCTCTATATATATTGTTCGGGGTCCTAGTGGAGTGGGTTGAAGATTGGGTCGAACAAACCCAACCCATTAACAGCCCTGACTACGGTCAGTTACTCACATAACCATATTGGAATTTTAGTTTGTTCTTGATACATATTGCTTTGTTATGATGATACCAGATAAAGATTAGAAAAGAGAAGTGACGAAAATAATTTTAGTTCATCTTACAAAGTCTATTAATAGTAAATTACAAATTAAAAAAAATTAAAGCTTGCACCACTTTATTAGCATTGCCCTTAATTGTGGTTAAAAAAGTTTCCTATCAAAACGTTAATTCCAACTTTGAATAATAGTATTGTATCAAATATTATATCTTAAGAAAACTAATCTATTTCGACGTTGAACTTATAAGATTCGAAATATCCTAAAGCATATAAATTGACGAGAACCTATCAAACAAAAAGAAATTTACATTAATCGCCCTTGTATCCAAGAAAAGCTAAGGTTGAATTCAATAAACTAAAGGAGTATCGCTGTGAGTTTTCGATGTCAGATGGATTGTTTGCGGCATTCCATTGCGCAATAACTGGTGGATGAACGCTGTATGATGATAAATTATTCTCTTTTATTACTACCGTGAGAGAATAATCAATTGTTCCACGTGGTATTACGGGATCAAGCAGTTTTACCAACTTGCGAGCACCCAAATTCGAAACAGCATAACCATGCGTACACATTGGTGCCACCGATTTATATAACTTATGAACCGAAGAACTATTGCCGACTTCTTCACCGACAGATTCAAAACAATGGCCTACGTATAAAAGATCCCAAGAAGCAGGTAAGTCACGATGAATATCAGTCATAGTAGCAGTGATATTAAGTTCAAGGTCTGCATCATCTTCTAAAATTAAAATGTTATTATATTCTTCTTCAATTATCAATTTATAGATAAAATAATGACTAAGATAACAAGCTTTTTGAGAAGGGCGCATATCTGCAGAACCATACTTTTTGAGAATTTGTTCATCGTTTTTAGTAAAGGCAGAGAAATAAACAAAGTCTAAACCGTGATATGAAGCTATTTTATCTAATCTTTCACGTCTATCCGTTCGATAGTCAAGATGAACAACATAAATGCGATCAAATCCAAGTGTACGATTCGAGGGTATAAATTGATTTCGTAAATCTGATTCATCAGAATAGTTGAATAAAGTTTGGAGCAAGAAACTTAAATAGAATGATATAATGATTAAGAAACTTATAAATATTTTTATCTTAATGCTATTTGGAAACTGCGAATAATTTGAAATCGATATCATATTGAATAGATTAAAAACGTTTAGTAAATTCACATTCCAATATTTTTATATTCAAACTATTAATTTGCATCTCAAATTTGGTTAAGCTCGCGATTTTCAATTTACGTAAGATGGTTTTAAACTATTCCCAAAATATGTCTCAAATTCGAACCACAAAGATAATTTACTGATTTAATAACTATAGCTAGTTTCAATTCATAATCCCTGTTTCTGATTTTTTAAAACTCAAACTATATTGAACTATATATATAGTTTTTAATCATACAATCTTGTAATATAGAATTAAATAAATTTTTATCGAATTTGGCAAAGTACAATTATTATTTTTTATTCGAATTTAAAATTTGGTCTAAACACTAGTAAATACTATATATAGTATATAATTTGAAATATATTATGTTTTTTTATATTCTTTTTATAGAAATATTTAATTAATAAATCTTTTAAACGGGTTAAAAATACGTGCGTACGTACGTACGTAGCATATTTGATCGTTATCTGACAAACAATGTAGATCGAAATGCTATACGTATTCATGCATGTGCGTGATGCAATATAAACCGGGCAACTCCCAATCATAAATTGTCGGATAACACCATATTAGTGAGTCCAAAATTATGTAATCGTCAATTATGTAAATTATGATAGTTAGCTGTTACGTAAATGTCATCAATTAAAAGAATTAGTTCAATTATAAATATATATATATGTATATAGTCTGATGAATAACAATAATTTTTTGCAAGGTGTTGTTTTTAATACAGTCGATACTGTCTAATTGCATATACTTTCTAAGTGCATAAAAAATTTTAACTTTTAATTATTAACACCGAAATGGTTCTTATGATTTAAATGCATATACTGTACTGTCTATATGCATAAAAAAATCTCCGACGGATGGCATGCAATTAGACAGTATCGACTGTATATTGATAATAAATTCCAAGTTATTAAATTTATGTTAATAGAAAATATACATATGGGGCGCATCAAACTAAAACACGGCTTATGGCACTTTTTGCAAAAAAATGAGTTAAACATACGGTCGTATAAAGTAGACACTCTTCTAGATAATCTGATATTTAAAATGTTGATTTACATAATAAAACCCTTGCTGCAGAGTCATAGAAATGCATCTGTGTGATTGGCTAATTGATGTCGATCCAACAGGTTATACTAATAATAG